TTTCAGACACATAAAAGATTTGGAGAAAAAGTCGGCTGAGAAGAAGATGTCGGACGCAAAGCAGGCAGCGCTCAAGGCGACGTTTGCCAACACCGTGACGGACATCATCAAAGCAGCTGCCGAAAAGGACATGGCGTCAGCTCTGGGACTAGGTGAACCCCTCTACGAACCAGTGCCTGAGCAGGAAGCTGCTGCCAAGGCAGAGTCGCTGTACAAGCAAGCGGTGGATCGCATCTCCAAGGAAATAGAGACCAAGGAGAACGAGGCCAAGAAGGCCAAGGACAAGGAGGAAACCAAGGAGCACGCCAGGATGAACATGGACCCGGCTAGCCTCCTCAAAAAGGTGATCAACGCGGAGATCAGGGACAAGCTGGGCGAAAGACATGATGTTGATCTGGAAGGTGGGCCTCCAGATGCAGCTATGGGGTCAGAAGCTAGAGCAGTGGATCCAGCTCAAACCTTGACCCGCTTCTGCGACGCAGTGTCTGCAAAAAACGGCCGCTCCCCGGCGGCAGCGCCGGGGGAAACCAGACCAAAGGCAGGCAAGGACAAGGACCGCAGGGGCAAGGGAATAGACCCCCAAGACACGCAGCCCAAGGGCAAAGGCAAAGGCAAGAAGGGCAAGAAAGGCAAGAAAGGCAAGACAGACAGACAGAAAGGCAAAGGAAAAAACAAGGACAACGGAAAGGGCAAGGACTCCAGGAAGGGGAAGGATTCCAAGAAGGGAAAATGCCCACACGGGAAAAAGGGAGAGCGTGGTACGAACGGAAACTCTTACGCCAAGTAGCGTGGAGACGCAAGCTCCGGGAGGACGAATCACAGCGTAGTGATATCCGATGGATGTTGCGCATGACGTCTGGGCTAAGCGTTGGGGATTTGCTTACCATCCTGGACTGGCCATCTCAGCAACATCGGTTTCAGCTATACGACCCTACCTCCCTCAGCATGCGGACGGCCAGCGCTCCATGGCCGATCAAATGGTACCTTTTACGTCGCCATCGTAAGCACATTTCTATATCTAAAGCTCTTCCCTCTTTAACTTCCTTCCGACGGCAATTGCAAGATTATGGAAATAAGATGAAATGGAGGTGGTATTTCCATCATTTTCCTGGACCTCCCCGAGCCTTCCGAGGCCCTCCGGCACCCAGACCACCAACCTTCACCAAGGAGGCTGAAGCCAACACCAAGCCCAGTTGGCTTCCGATGAAGTGGTGGGTGCAATCTGTCAGCCAGCAGCTCATGAACGCCATGGTGCGTGCCAGGAGACGTTCACGGTTTTCAGCACGATCGTACGCTAATTTGGGTCCGTTGGAAAAGTGTGCGCTCCAGCTACTCCAGAGAAGCAAGTTTGCGGCGATCCCCAATGACAAGGATTCCACTTTTTCGCTGGTGCGGAAAGCTGATCTTCCTATCATATCAGACCGTGTTTTTTCATGTAGGCGCTACGTGCCAACCAGCCGGCATGGCATCCACAACGCTCTTGCGAGGTCTTACAACAAAATCTGCAAGTGGGTTGGGGAGAAGTTGGACGATGAAACGTTGAGCCCAGCACTCTTCAAGAGCGCAATGTTTCCAGGCAGCACGGCGCGGAGCAGGCTACAGATCTTGGTCAAGACACAGAAGCCTCAGGGAGAAGTGGTTGTGCGAGCTGTCCATGCTTCGTCGAGGTACATGTTTGCTGGGCTCAGTCACTGGCTGGCTCAGGAACTTCGGCGCAAGCTCGGCGACGTCGCACCCTATCTTCTGAAGGATTCACAAGACCTTGTGTCCAGAATCAGGCACGTCCGGCATACGAGTGTTGAGAAATGGCACATGGCCACAATCGATGTTAAGGACTTTTACTTGAACGGCACACCTGATCAGATCATAGAGGCAATCCTAACATTATGGGCGGCTGACGACCCTATGAAGGAAGTCTTACATCGAGTTCTCGATTTCGTTTTGCATAATCAATATGTGGATGACCCATGGGAAGGGTCCGACAACCTGACGTACCAAGTGCTGGAAGGATCAGGTATGGGCCTGGAACATCCCGGCGAGGTCGCTGACTGTACGCTAGTGGCGCTCATGGAGAGGCGCGTCGTAACGGCAGGGGCGGGCGAGAAGCTTGCCCACCATGGTGTCAGAGCATACTGGAGGTTCAGAGATGACATACTGCTCCTGAGTGGGGGGCTCGCTTCAAGCACAATGTCGCTCTTCAGGGAGATGCAGGCGCTCGCTCACATCTACCCGATGAAGATAACATGGGCATGGCGCGAGGTGCAGTTCCTGGATCTGCTGGTGAGGAAGGAACGGGATCATTTGTCAGTCTCACACTTTCTGAAACCGTCCTCTCTCGCCCCTCCTCTATCTCCCTCCAGTGCTCAACCGCGCCACGTGCACAGCTCGTGGCCAAAAGCCTTTGCACAGAGAGTAAGTCGATTGTGTAGCACTCGAGGCCTATACCAACAGTCTGTAGCCACCATAGAGAGTAGGCTTCGCGAGAGTTTTGCAGACGAATACACGCTCAGCATGTTCCGGCAATCTGCCCTCGTAGCTGAGGCACGCTTTTCTTCCACAGGCGCCGAGCCCCCTCGACGCCGAGTGGAACCCAAGAGAGAGTTTTTTTCCTGGCTAGTTGTAGGGCACCACCCTGCTACAGTGCAGGAACTACAGAGAGAGGTAGCTGCTCTGAATGGGCACCCAGTCCTTAGATCGTGGCTTGAACAAGCTTTTCGTTCGCGATTCGGGGAACGCTCCCAATCCATTGGTCTAAGCTGGTGCAATTCGGGCCCCTCCACCCTAAGACGTCTGCAACAAATCTTGTACTCTAGCGAACTCATGGTGTAGAGGTTGGGGTAGGTGGTGGATTGCTGTTGCTGCTCACGTTTCGTCGGCATCGGCACCACAACATTTTGGCACAAACCATTTACAGCGCAGAGCTGAGCAGATCTTAAGGCCAGTCTCTGGACAGCAACTTCCGGAGGCGCTGAGAGAGTAAAGAAGTCTCGCTGATCCCCTCCTGCCCCCTATCCTGGGTCGCCGCTGCTAGAGGCTCCTCGAGATGCTGGCCAGGATGAGCCCATGGGAGTGGAATCTTGGCATTCACTTCGAGTGGATTCCGGGGGGTTCGCCATGGAGAAAGCAGTTGCCTTGAGGGGAGAGGCCCGCCGTCCGGGCCATCACGGCGCGTGCCTGGGGAAGCTCGGCCCCGAGGCATCCTTTCGCCCGTGCTCTGCCAGGATAGGGTGAGGCCCTGGCACGGCAGGTCGAGGAACGGGTGGTACGTGCGTTGATCATCGGCTGTCTGCATCCCTCTTCTGTCCGCCCTTCTCCCCCTCCCCAGAAGGTGCTCGAACCAAAAAGTTGTATTGAGGGGAACGGGGCCCATGCCCAGGTGGAGCGTGTTTCTTCATTGCTTGGGGCATGTCGGGTGTCATGGCCCCCGCCGCCCCCCCTTCCCCCATGACGTAACGCTCCCCCCCCCCTCTGCGCTCCGGGCACTGCCGCCGTGCGCATCGGGATCCGCATAGGTGTCCGCATAGGAATCCGCAAAGGAGTCTGGTCTGCAGTCGTCGTCGTCGTCGTCGTCGTCGTCGTCGTCGTCGTCGTCGTCGTCGTCGTCGTCGTCGTCGTCGTCGTCGTCGTCGTTGTCGCTCGTCGCTCGTCGCTCGTCGCTCATCGTCGTCGTGCGCGCGGACGCGGCTGGAGCCTGTTTCTTCTTCTGGGCCGATGGCGTCTCGTTTCGCGCCGGCGGCGTCTGGGAATGCCTAGGAATGACTGAGGACGGGTAGCAGCAGCATGTAGGTGGCGACCTGCACCACAACGCCTGTGTACACCACAGTGCCTGCGTGCACCACAGTGCCTGTGTACACCACACCGCCTAGGTACACCACAGCAGCCGCGTGCAACACAGCGCCAGTGCGTGCCCCTGGCTGCGGACACCACAGCGCTTGTGTACACAGTGCCTGCGTACACCGCATCAGCCGTGCGCAACACAGCACCAGTGTACACCACAATGCCTGCGTGCACGACAGCGCCTGTGTACACCACGACGCCTGTGTGCACCAGAGCAACCGTGTGCAAAAAAACAGTGCTGCATATAGAATGTTAGAAGGAATCCGGATGACAAAATGGAGCGCCTGCGGATTTCACTGAGAATAATTTTGTTAATTATGTAGGATTTGGAAAGGAATCCTTATGGAAAAAGGAGTGCCGCTGGAATCTACGAGCCATGTCGAGCCCGCCCGTATAATCCTCACTAATTCCTCCCACCTGCGTCCAGGAGGCTCCAGGTAAAATTGGCCGTCCGAGAACCAAGTGGATTGATTCAATATACCTTTGTGCGGTGAACGCTGGGATGCGCACGTGCGCTGTAGCGCCGACCCCCCGCCGCACGACAGGGGGGAAGGGTGAGGGAGGAGGAGGAGGAGGAGGAGGAGGAGGAGGAGGAGGAGGAGGAGGTGGAGGTGGAGGTGGAGGTGGAGGTGGAGGAGGAGGAGGAGGAGGAGGAGGTGGAGGAGGAGGCGGAGGAAGAGGGGGGAAGGAAGAACGTCGCATTCTATTATCAGTACTTCCCAGGCGTGGCGTTTAGCTGTCCGCAGCAGATCCTTACTTACATGCTCCTTGTACCTGTCTTGTGCACGCAAGCGCTGTGGTGTACATCAGCGCTGCGTTGCACGCGGATGCTGTGGTGTAGACAGGCGGTGTGGTGTGCACAGGTGCTGCGGTGCACGCAAGCATTGTGGTGTACACAGGCGCTGTGTTGCACATAGTTGCTGCGGTGTGCACATTCGCTGTGGTGTACACCGGCGTTGTAGTGCACGCAAGCAAGCACTGTGGTGTACACAGGCGCTGCGTTGCACACGGCTGTTGCGGTGTACGCGGGCGCTGTGGTGTACACGCGCGCTGTGGTTCACGCGAGCATTGTGGTGTACACTGGCGCTGTGGGGCAGACCGCCACCTACATGATGCTCGCGTCGTTGTCGTCATCGTCGTCGTTCGTCGCTCGTCGCTCGTCGCTCGTCGCTCATCGTCGTCGTGCGCGCGTGCGCGGCTGTAGTGCTGGAGCCACACGGCGGGGGGGGGGGCGTTGCGTCACTCCGCCCCCCGCCACCTCCCTTGACGCCCGTCATCGCCAAACAAAAAAGAAAAGCGCTCGTGTTTTGCAGTTGTCGGCCTCCCTGGGGACCGTCAGCAGCACCTCAGGATCACGAAAGATTGACGCTCTGCGTATCTCCACCAGCCCATCCACAAACGATGCCCTGGCGAGTTGCCTCGATCAGGTAAGTGTAGGAGCAAGCAGCGGAACGAGAGGGGCATCCGTGAATCCGCAGTTCGGGCCCAGTCTGAGCATGTACCTTCGCTGATCTTTCGGTAGGGAACCCTCTCGGAAACTCACTTGGGTCATCTCGGGGCCCTCTCGGGGCCAGCTTGAAGGCCTTCTGGCTCTCCTGGGGGCCCCCCTCGGGGATCCTGGGCGCCCTCTCTGAGGCCACATTGGGCGCCATCGATCAACGAAGGTGCCGCAGCGCCCCGAGCGTGCCCCAGGCGCGCCTGGTGCGGCAGATACGCAACAAGCCCCACGCGCGTTAAGTGTGCCACGTGCTCCATCCGCGGCAGGTGCTCGACGTGCGCGGAGTGAGGCAGGTGCGCCAGTGCAGGTGACAGCACACACCGGGCAATATGCAGAGCCCCTGCAGTCCCTGTCGATCAAAAGCCACTCCAAAGTGGCGGCGGTGTGGTCAATATGGTGTGAGGAGTGCCTGCGCCCGCAACAAGCATTTCACATAGGATCTTTGATCGGGAGAACGTGCCAGCGCTCAGCGGACAAATGTGGTCACCCCCCGCCATCCGTGCCAAAAGCCGATGGGAAGTGCTCGCAGGATGCCGTTTCACGATCCAGATTTACCGCCACGTGCACCTTGGATTGTTTCTCGACGCGGATGGTGGGGGGCCTCGTTGTTCCTGATCGATGGCCAGTCGAGAGGGGGAGGGGGTGTTCTCTAGGACTGATAGGTTGCCATGATAACGCCCTCCCGGAAGAAAGGGGGTTGGAAGAGAAAGCAATCTGTGCCCAAAGGGCTGGTGGGACTGGTCCAGGGGGGGGGGGGAGGCGAAGGCGTCGAGAACCAAAGTGCTTCCACACGCGCATGAACTTCCGGAGGTCCGCGCGGGCTCCTTGGGTCGGCACTGGCCCCCTTCTGCCCGCTCTCCTGGCGGCGCCTCTGGCGCCGCCCCCCGGGGACCTCCGCGCGCCAGGGAAGGCGTGCACGTCTACGGCCAGGAGCTCCGGCTGAGCCTTAAGTCGGGCACGCCCCTCTACAAGTCCAAAAATAGTCTGGGGACGATTTGTTTGACCATTTTGTGACTATGTTGGAATAGGCTTTGGCTATTTTTGATTTTTCTTCCAAAATCGGCCTGTGGGGGGACGTGCCCGACCTGAGCTTCGCGTGTCGCGCCGCTGAGTCTGGCCCACTGCGCTGCGGCGCGACACGCTCTTCACGCGCCAGTCCCCAGGCGTCAACGGCCCTAGCCTTTCCGAGCCCCCAGCCCCGCGGAGCAGAGCGACACGCCGTCAGCTCTCGAGGCATGTGAGCATGTCGCCAGTGCCGCGGCCGCGACACGCTGAGCAACAGTTCCCGACCGTACATGTTCATGCCAAGTCGTTCGCTGTCCCTCTTGATTTTTTCGCGGGAGGCCCAGGCTCTCGTGAATTTTCCGCGGGAGGCTGGACGAGGAGCTGGAGGAGGAGTGGCAGAAGGGGGAGGAGGATCATCATGGATTTGTTGAGCGATATCTGGCGGGGTAAACTTGCGGTGTCGACCAAGGAGGGAAAGGTCAGCAGTGGATCCGGCATCACCATCGACAAGGCCGTGTACGAGGAGCGCGAGAAGGCCTTCTTCAGCGAGGTGGGCCTGTCCGGCGAGGGCCTGGGCACCAAGCTGACGGGCGTCAAGACCACCTGACCTGCCGAGCTGTCGGCGGCTCTCCTGCCAAGTGGCGTTTCAAGCCCAGGTGACATCGAAGAGGAAGAATCGGCACAGCCACACACATCTTCGGAGCTCCGCGCGGACCTCCGAACGTGTATGCTTGTGCAGCTTGTTGCTCATCCAGGGCAGCCCCAAAGCCCTGGATCTGGGACCCAGGCCTCCGATACCGTGGCTTGTTCTGCCATCCGTGGGCCGCAGACATATCGACCCCTTCCTCCTCCTCCTCCTCCTCCTCCTCCTCCTCCTCTCCTCCTCCTCCTCCTCCTCCTCTCCTCCTCCTCCTCCTCCTCCTCCTCCTCTCCTCCTCCCCCTCCTCCTCCTCCTCCTCTTCCTCCTCCTTCCTCCTCCTCCCCCTCCTCCTCTCCTCCTCCTCCTCCTCCTCCTCCTCCTCCTCCTCCTCCTCCTCCTCCTCCTCCCCCTCCACAATTCTTCAATATGAATACACTCTCCTCCATCCCCTGATGACGTGCGGAAGATGGCGGGCACCCCTCCGCGTATTGTTTTTTTACACACAGGATTTCCCTGAGTTGGGTTTTCGCTTGGGTTTTTTTCAAAATACTGCTCTCGCTGAGGCGCCGGCCTCATTTTCAGGCTTCCGCTCGTTCCGAATCGTGCTCCCGCTGCAGCGTGGGCCTCATTTTCGGATCGGTGTTTTGCCTCCGTCGTTCAGGATGGCGTTCTCGCCCCAGCGCGGGCCTCTTTCTCGCGCGCCCATCCGCCCGCCACCACCGCACCGCGCCCCGCCCCGCCCACCGCCACTTCCACCCACCAACGCACGCACGCACGCACGCACGCGCACCACCACCGCGCACCGCCACCACCACACCACTACCCCACCCACCACCACCACCACGCTACAACGCGTCACATCACATCACACACACACACACGCACGCACGCACGCACGCACGCACGCACGCACGCACGCACGCACGCACGCACGCACGCACGCACGCACGCACGCACGCACGCACGCACGCACGCACGCACGCACGCACGCACGCACGCACGCACGCACGCACGCACACACACACACACACACACACACACACACACACACACACACACACACACACACACACACACACACACACACACACACACACACACACACACACACACACACACACACACACCACCACCGCCACCACCACACCGCCATCACGCACGCACGCACCTGGCCCACCACCAAACCACCAAGACGCCACACCACGTCGTCACACCACAGTACACGCGCACACACGCACACACACACACACCACCACCACCGCCACCACAACCACAACCGCGCACACACGCACGCACGCACGCACGCGCACCACCACCCACTACGCACGCGCGCGCGCGGAGCCACAGGTCCGCTACGACACGCGTCCGCGGATAGAGAAAATCAGCGCCATGGTAAGGGATGGGAGAGAGGGGTAGAACGTCAGATATGACGCGAGCGCACATAGCTTGTCCCCCTCCTCCCTCTCCTCCTCCCCCTCCCCCCCTCCCCTCTCCCCCTTCTCCCCCTCCCTCAGCCCTGGACCCAGGCCCAGGCATCCGACGCCGCGACTTTTTCGCCAGGCCGAGATAGGAGGAAGCCCCAGGACTGAGGCACAGACCAATCCGCCGGAGGTCTGGGGGCCAAGCTCGGGATCTGCACCTCCCTCAGAGTCCACCCTCCGCACCCTCCTCGGCCACGCGCAGAGGGGGGCGCAGGGGGAGGGGGGAGGCTTCTTGAAGGAAGCTCCCCTGCTTCTTGGAAGGCGCGGGCCTTCTCTGTAGACAGGAGGCCGGCGCCTTCTAAGAACCAGCCTCCTTCGAAGAAGCCTTCACCTTCTTTTTTATCCTCTTGTGCGCGCCGCCAACTTCCGCTCCCTCACGTCGCGGCGGTGCCTGCAGCGCGCTTCGATCGTGTAACTGCGCGGGCCTCCCTGGACCTCTCGACTCCTCCCCCGGGGCCTGCTTCTCGGTGGACAGGGACCCGCGAGTCGCTGCAGGGGCGCAAAACGATGGACGACAGACCGGCGCCTCGATGTTCTTTCCGAAGCGCTGGATGTCTGTCGAAACGACGTGAGAGTGACCTTCCGCCGGAGTGACATTTGGTGCGGGCCCACAGGGCCCCCCCGAACGTTGAGTGCGATGCCATAGAAGCGCCTTGCCCCCCCCCCCGCGGCCCCCCACCGGCCGCGCACCAGAGGCCCCTCTTACCCAGGCCACTCCTTGCGCGCAGCCGACAGATGTCTTGGGAAGGCGCGCAAGGACAGTCGGGGCCCAGAGGAAGGAACCCTTTCGTTGGGGAGGGGCTCGGTGTTCCTTAGTTTTTTTGCAGTTCGCCTTTGGTTTTGCTAGGGTTTCGATTGGAAATCGAAGTTTAACTTGTGGGAAAAAGGGACCTCCTTCCTTATTCAGGGTTCCTCAGGTCAACTCCCCGACTGTAGGACCCTGAAGTCCGCGGCCCCAGAGGTCCCGACCGCGTCCCCGGGGGGTAGCTGTTCGTCCCGGGTCCGCCCTCGATGGCCTCGAGGGCCCCAGGGGCCCCAGAGGCCGAGATCGAGGAGACACCGCCGGTTGGAAGCATCGTGCCGTCGGACATCCCGCGGGGCTCTTTCTCGACAACGCCGATCTCTGGAGGCCTCGACAACTTCCCCAGGGCCGTCTTTTCATCCCGAGTCCTTTCTTGATGGTCCTGGGCCCCAGTGAGGGCCCCCCAGAAGCCCAAATGGCCCAAAGCATCCTGTCGTTTGTTCCTTCGCCGTGGATGGAGGTCTAGGGCGCAGGTTGGAGATCAAGGGATACCGCACCTCTCCTGGGGTGCATTCTGACCAGAATATCGAGGCGAATCCAGCCGTGGCGACGAGGGCTCTCCAGGACCAGCAGCGCCATCGGTATGTTCTCCTCGTCGGCGAGGAGGAAGGAAGGCTCCAACCATCCGAGCTGGGGAGATCCAGGGCTGGGCTCGAGGCCTCCCAGATGCGGTCCGAGCAGATGGGGTCGGAGGATCGCGCCGCATCGCCGAGGCATCGGCGACGCCGCTCGATGCGGGGCCAGACTTTCTCCACGCCGACGTCGCCGATGCATCGGCGACGCATCGACGATGCGGCGCGATCCTCCGACCCCATCTGCTCGGACCTCGTCTGGGAGGCGTCTGTGGGCACGTGCTGCCCAGCGTGACTGTGTGCAGTGCTGCGCGCGCCCCCCCCCCCCGCTGCGGCACCCGGCGCGAGCGGCCTCTCGGCGGCGACCTTTGTCCGGCCGCCGCCGGGCCCGCGCCGCAGGCCGGCCTGGCCAGACCCTCTGGCCAGGCCCGGCTCTGGCGGGGAGGGGCTGAGAGGGAGCAGGCGATCGCCAGGAAGGGAACCCAGACACGCTCACGTCGTGCACGAAGGCACGGCGGATGGCTTTGGGCCGTGTTCGGCCTGCAGGGGTCCTCGCCGGGTCCCTGGACCGTCAAAAGTACAACTCGGCATGAAAAGCCAGCCCCAGGGAAAGGGTCGAGACTTCCGGGGACCTTGCAATGAAAAATCTGAGGTTGGGGGGGGAGGTCGGAGCGAAGAGGAGACCCCCAACCAGGACAGCGGTTTCGGCTTCGTGTTTGTGTCGTGCGTGCGGTGGAGGCGGAGCTGCGTGTGCGGGCGAGAGGAGTGATCCCACCGTCGCCAGGACGGACTGAGAGTAAAAGGCCCTCCTCGTCCGTTTGGCGATTTTGGGACCGAGGTTGTCCCGCGGTTGTCCCATGGTTGTCCCGCGGTTGTCCCGATTGTTTTCTCCATGGTTGTCCCGATGATTGTCCCGATGTTTGTTCCGACAGGTGTCCCGACGGTTGTCCCGATGGTTGTCCCGATGGTTGTCCCGATGGTTTTCAGATGATCGTTCCTATGGTTGTCTCGATGGCTGTCCCGATGGGAGGTTGATTGATGGATAGTGAGATCGACAGATAGATGGAGAGATCGATAATGTGGCAGAGACAATGATACATTGACAAGTTGGTCGATTGGTGGGCTTGGTAGGACGTAGTGAAATATACTGATAGGACCATCCTACGGTTGATAAGGAGATTTCGGGGGAAGGGGGAGGCGGTCGATGTGCGATAACTCTGGGTTCTTTGGTGGTTTCTTTTTTTTTGGGGGGTTGTTGCGCACATCTGCCCATCTATCTGTCTAGCTATCTGTTTGGGACAACCACTTGTATATATGTATACCAATCAATCAAGCCCCTCTCGGCTCTGGCGATTGCGACGGGGCTGGTGGAGGCACCAGGTGGGCGCCAAATGTCCGCCACACGATGATGGCACCGCCGCGGCTGTGCTCCCGAGGGAGCCGTGGCACGATGGCCGCTCGAGTGTCCTTCCTTTCGCTCGCGGTCTTCAACCCGTTCAGCCTCGTGGGCACTCGCGGCGAGGAGGTCAGTGCACAGCTCAAGCAGGTGCACATCGTCGCATGCCCTGGCACAAAGATCCCGAAACATCCTCATAGTGCTCATCACATTCAGAACTACGATCACCACACGGCCATCCACTTCGGCTACGGCAGGCCCAGCATGCACATTAACAATTCAGCGGGTTGCGCGATTCTCCTGAACTCGAGGTTCAAGACCAGACATATCAAGGACATCACATGTCCGCCCCAGGAACTACTTGGACGTGGCGGCGCTATCGCACTCGAGCAGGGCGCGACCAAGCTCAAGATCATCGTGGCGTACTCTCCACCAGCCCCATGGGATAAGAAGAAGGTCCCGCAGTGGCGGGCCACAATGACGAAGTTGGCAGCATGGGTACACACAGAGTTGGTGTCTACGCCATCGCGATTCACTCCGATCGTCATGATGGACCTGAACGATAGATTCGCGATGGGACCCGACGGTGATGAGACGGTCGGCTCCTTCCCTACTGGTCGCGAAGGCGAAGCGGGCAAACTCTATCATATGAACATGCTCAGCAACTACATGGCGGTGGCGAACACTTATTACGAGACGGGCCCCACATACGTGGGCATATTCCCCTCGGTCACGGATTACATCTTCATGCCCACTGGCCTGATCTCACGGATTCAGAGCTGCCGAGTTTGGAACCATTCTGCTTATGCTCTTCAGATTTCCAGAAAGTTCAAGGATCACAAGCCCCTCGTCATCAAGATCGAGGCGCCCCCATCATGCCACACAGAAGGCACGGCAATCCAGCATTTTGATCGAGACGCGTTGGCACTGGATCTGAAGTAAGGCAACAAACGTGAAGAGTTTCTCAACAGCCTCGAGGACCAGCTGACGACCCACGCGGAGTTGCTCGACACTTACCTGGACTATGAGGACGGCACATATCACTGGGGACTCACCATGCAGTGCTTTCGCGACGCGGCCTTGGAACACTTCTCATTGCAAGTACGACGGCCACAATGGTATAAGGAGGCTCGCGCCGAGAAACTCACTAAGCTAAAACAACGAGCCGATCTTCGTATTCAGCGGTCTCAGATGGAAGAAGCGAATTCACTGGAAGAGGAGATCGAAAACTTGGACACACACATCCGCAACCTCAGCAAGAAGCTTACTCGACACATCAAGGACACCAATCACAAGTACACAGAGATTCAGTGTGAAGACTTATGGCAGGCATGGCGCGATCGACGGCTTGCAGAATGTCATCGAGTCACCAAAGGCATCCTACGACACCGACTACGAGCACGACGGCGATTCTATGGCATATTACCGAGCAGCAGACCGAGCACCTACCAGTGGCAACAGTTCTTGGAACGACCAGGCGCTGAAGGAGGCTTACTCGCAGTGCCAGCACCAGTTCACGTACCTACACGCGCCGAACTCCTACCAGAGCCGTCTAATATAGGATGCAGGCCACATGCCAGCTCGGCTGCCTTCGGGGATCCAGGATCCGAGCCGCCTCGTCGCCTCCCTCATTTGCTGGATGCCTCGAACTCCCAGGTCCGGGTTCCGCCAGGCCAGGAGGCCCGACGCCCGAACCGCCCGTCTGCGCCACATATCAACTGGCTGAAGCAGAGCGAGGCCCCTGGCCCGAGTTGCCTTGGCTCAGACGCCGTCCCCCGCGGGGACTCTCAGAGGCACCGCGCCCTTCTTGGGGCCGCGCCCGTCTTGGGCCCACCACGGCCCTACAATCGAGGCGTGGACGAAGCAGAGGCCTCGTTCGACGATATGCTGAACCAAGACGAGCCCGACATGCCTTTCGAAATGGGCCCACCTACGCCTATGCCGAGCACACCACCTCCTACGGCACCGAGTGCAGCTACTTCGACTTCGAATATCACGCCCGCGCCCAGATCGGCAAACCGGGGCCTCCAGCTCAACTTCGTCGCCGAGGCCGCCGACGAGCTGGCAGCCGTCACGAAACTCCTGGGCGAGGCAAAAAGACGGAAATATGCGCCTCCTTTCTCGGTCCCAGCAGAAGTATTACTCATGGTACTCCAACCTGAAGTACTACGACGACCAGGGGGGGCTCGAGGGGGGATCGGTGCTTCCAACGCGCCCGTCGCTGATGAAGACCCCTCTCGGCGAAAGCTCCAGTTCTCTCAACAGTATCGACTCGGACGATCACGCCTACTCGCAGCTCTGGCCCACGTACGACAACACGATCGAGTACCGACGCAGGCCAATACATCACGCAGCTTTCAGTTGGACAAAGGCAAGATGCTCCCTGGGCCATGTGGACTTCGACTCATACATTGCTTCGACGTTTTCTGGAGATGCTTTTTCAGATATCTACGCGAACGAGGCTTCCCTTCTCCACCACCCGACTACGCATATGGAGGTATCGCACACCGACGGCGTGAATATGGCATGATCGTGACTCGAGTGATGGCTAGCAAGTTGCGCAAAGCAAAAGTTGCCTTCGCAGTTCGCTCTCACGATGGACGGAATGCCTTCGGTTGTACACAGCACGCCGCGATCACAGAACACGTTCTTCCAGCATTTCGAGCAGGTGATCGGCAACTTGCGCAGCAGCGCAGGAGCGAGTCCCAGACCATTGTCGACGCGAGCGACGGCACGCTCCTGATGCGCAACAGGGAAGGAGGACTGATGGGATGCTCTAACGAACCCGACGCCTTCATGACAGTGTACAACGCGAAGCTGGAGGAGTGGCGCGAAGATACCAAGGCTACCATATCCAACCAGATGTTACAATCATGCGCACCCAAAGTGGGACCCAGATGGACCAGTACAGGATGCGTCTCGGCAGGTTTTCGTGGACGACATTTTGAAGCTTCACATCGCCATCAGGGTCGGCACCAAGAAGCAGGCCATGGACGCACAGGGTAACCTCCACGACGCGACCACCACTGTGAACGACGCGCTGGCCATGATTATCGAGCGAGATCTGGACTCACTACGGCGACATCTTCGGACTGGCGGATTTGGGCTGAATGAATCTAAGGAGGAAATCGTTCACAGCATCCCCTCTAAGCTACAACACCGAGCTTTCTTCGACGACAACCGAATCAACTGCCGCAAGCTCACCTCCATGAAGCATGTGGGTGGCATGTTCGACGGAAAGGCCACCTCCGGCGCAGAAGGAGATGCACGTCTACGAGCCGCTAACTCTGGATGGAGTCAGTATCATCATTTCTGGTTCAGTCGTGCTCCGAGACGATTGAAAAGATTGGTCTTTCAGGCAGTGGTCTACGAGGCAGCGATCAGTGGCGCCGAGACTTACTACTTGCACACGACCGACTACAAACAACTGGACACTTCCCTGGGCAAGAAACTTCGTGCTATGCTGAAGGGCAAAGGTTGTCTCCGCACCCACGACCGCTACAAGTCGATATCGGCAGCTGAGGTCTGGCGAAGATGGGAGATTGCACCGAGTTCAATCGAGCTGAAAGTACGACGTCTTAAACTTCTTCAGGGCGCTGCAGCATACCCCGACGACTCCAAACATATGGTCTCTGTCCTGTTCGGTGAACTCCAGATTGAGCATCACCTACGTGAACTCGAATTGCCCGTGGCACCGCGCACGTTAGACGATGACGGCTACATCAACCCCGACGCGCACCTCATCGCTCGACAGTTCTCCACGGATATACAGGACATGCTGGTCCTGGACATCGCCGAGCCTCTGGAATACCTGGGCTGGCGCGGCAACATCGTGGAGTTGTTTACGGAGCCCGACGTAGCAGAAGCTTTCTGCGGCGTCGACGTGAGCATGATGAGGGCAGCTTACCTTCGGCGCGCCCTTGCGCCTCCTGGAGCTCTCGCAGAGCTCCCCTCAGAAGTGGCCCCGTCTGACGAGGCCGAACTGTTCGTCTGCACGCTGAAAACGTCCGAGGGTATCGCATGCATGTCCAAGTGGAAGAGCGCACGAGCACTTTATGCACACCAGCGGGGACTCGCACCAGGGGGGAGAACATGGTATGTGCTGCTTATTATCACAGCTCACGATCACGAACGAGTGTTTCATATGCGGTACTACATTCCCTACACGTGTGGGCGCACAACATCATATCACAGCTGCATGGAAATCACACATATGTCGCACGGATCAGACATGGGCACCGTGTCCGATCACGTCCCCGAAGACACTAACATGTCCAGTATGCTACCAGTCCTTCGAAGAGTACAGCACGATGCGCGCGCATCTCCGTAGCCATCTACCTCAGGAAGCACTGGGGACTCATGCGCTCTCACTGCCACAGCTTACGCCGACGCCTACACCAGCACCGCAGCCAGTCACCGACGATGGCACCAGGCACGGCGAGCGTCCCGACACCAGCTCGAGCGGGTTGGCGTGCCCCCATGGAGTCCTCAGCAGCGTCTGGGAATGGTGGAGCGCGCGGAAGGCCAGAACGCTCACGGAGCCAGCCGCGCAAGGGTCAGGACGGAGCCATGGACGAGGACCCGAAGTTCGATCCCAGGAAGGTGACCCTCGCTCGAGTTCGGCGCCGCCGAGGAGCAGGCTTCAAGCCGAAGCAGGCGCCGGCGATGTCCCAGGAGATGAAAGACCTGCTTCTCATCATCCTCCGTGCGACGTACCAGAACACGAAGCAGGTTCGCGAGCTCAAGGGTTGCATCGTCACGACAGTGAAAGTGGAAGACAAGGATCCCTTGGTCGAAGCCATCGAGTTGGAGAACCGCAACTACGCACGTATGATCCGCCAAGAAGGCGGCAATCACGGGAAGGTTCCCCCCCTGCCCCAGGCGCAGCCATGGCGATGATCGAGACTCTAGTCAGCCAGGACATCGGTGCGAAGTGCAAGGAGGAGCTCACCACGGCGCTCCAGCAGATCAACGAGCTCGATGTGTACCAGGCCCAGGATATGTTCCCGATCTGCAGGGTCGAGAAAGCGTACAAGAGCGGCTCGGCGAAGGTCATGTTCACTTGCCGCGACCTCAGCATCCGTCAGAAGATCATGGCCGCTCTAAACAATGCGAACAAGCCAGCCTGTCTCGGACCAGCCCCAGCGGGCTTTGTGGAGGACGAGTTGGCTCTCTACATGGACGCGTTGATGAACGACGAGGCGTGAATACTACCAGTATGACAAACGACCTTGATCTGGAGATTGACGGCTACTCAGTACGGCGCCTCAAAGCGACTTCCACCCATGATGAAGTGCTACCCCGACTGCCGTGTGTGAGTGCCTCTTCAGATGCTATGGTTCGATTTGCTCTCAGTGGGAATGCCCAAGCTGGTGCATGCAGTGGCTTGGGCTCTAGAACTGCACGACCGCCGACCTGTACACCACCACCTCCTACGGCACAGAGCGCAGCTACTTCGACTTCTGAGGCTGACGCCACCCGCTCCAGATCCGTACCTCCTGCTCGAGATAGGCTCGAGAGGGAAAAGCCAGCTGTTCTAGATGTTCGGGGTCCCAGGTCTCAGACTCCCCCGAGTAGACCTCCCTCTTCTGCGCCCGCTCGTACTTCCTCTGCTTGTGCCCCCATGCCGCCCTCTCACCCCTCTCGCTCCCCCCCAGAAGCACGCACCACCCTCCTCACCGCTCGGGGAGGGGGGCGAAGCCGAGGGCCCCAGGGGAAAGCTCGGGGTCGGGGTCGCCACCCTCGGTGAGCTGGTCTGTGTGTGCGCCGCTTCTGTGCCGCACTGCTCACAGTCATGAGCTGCGCGGTGCCTAAATGAGACGCCAAAGTGGCGAGCACCGTCTAGGGTCTCAGCGTATTTCAACTAATACCTGATGTTTGGACCTTTGGACATTTTGGTGAGTGAGTGAGTGAGTGAGACCAATCAATCCATCAGTTTACCAATCAATCGATCAATCAATCAATCAATCAATATATAGAGGTATCGGAATATCATTCTATACATATATGTATACACATCCATTTACCGATATGGATGTATCAGAATCTGTTGGAAATAGATATGCATATATTTCTCCATGGGGCCCAGGAGCGTCAACGAGCGTGTCAGGAGAAAGAGCAAAGCCGTGTTTCGACGAGACCCGTGGCCCGGCAGGTTCCCCTTGGGAGGCCGCAGGCTGCAACAGGAGCGCCGCCGGGGTCTTGCGCACGACGCGAGCACGCGGGAGGAGGAGGCGGGAGGAGGAGGAGGGAGAAGGTGGAGAGGGACACGCGGAGAGCAGGAGGACGAGGATGGGGAGGACGAGGAGGAGGCAGGAGGAAGAGGAGGAGGAGGAGGAGGAGGAGGAGGAGGAGGAGGTGGACGAGGACGAGGACGAGGAGGACGAGGATGGGGAGGACGAGGAGGCAGGAGGAGGAGGAGAAGGAGGAGGAGGAGGAGGAGGAGGAGGAGGAGGAGGAGGAGGAGGCAGGAGGAGGAGGAGGAGAAGGAGGAGGAGGAGGAGGAGGAGGAGGAGGAGGGAGCCGGCGGAGGAGGAGGGAGGAGGGTGTGCGGAGAGCAATCGGCCAGCGGAGGCTCCCCTTCCTACAAAGTAGCTTGGGTTGGACGCCCGCCTCGGCCAGCAGCACAGCTTTCCTGCCGCGGACCCCGTGCCGCCTTGGTGACTCTTCCGCGGTGCGCAGGCGACGACGACGACGACGATGTTCACGACGATGACGACGACGACGATGTTCACGACGATGACGACGACGACGACGACGACGACGACGACGACGACGACGACGACGTTCACGACGATGACCTCGACGACGACGACGACGACGACGACGACGACGACGACGACGACGACGACGACGACGGCGGCTGACGGCGACGACGACGGCGACGACGACGACGACGACGATTTGTCGGGGGTGGGCCAGTCGGGCCTCCTCGGGCAGCCTGGGGCCTCCCCGCCCCCACGTCTCCTCCTCCTCCTCCTCCTCCACCTCCTCCACCTCCTCCTCCACCTCCTCCTCCATCTCCTCCTTCTCCACCTCCTCCTTCTCCTCCTCCTCCTCCTCCTCCCCCCTCTCCCCCTCCCCCTCCCCCCCTCCCCTCTCCCCCTTCTCCCCCTCCCTCAGCCCTGGACCCAGGCCCAGGCATCCGACGCCGCGACTTTTTCGCCAGGCCGAGATAGGAGGAAGCCCCAGGACTGAGGCACAGACCAATCCGCCGGAGGTCTGGGGGCCAAGCTCGGGATCTGCACCTCCCTCAGAGTCCACCCTCCGCACCCTCCTCGGCCACGCGCAGAGGGGGGCGCAGGGGGAGGGGGGAGGCTTCTTGAAGGAAGCTCCCCTGCTTCTTGGAAGGCGCGGGCCTTCTCTGTAGACAGGAGGCCGGCGCCTTCTAAGAACCAGCCTCCTTCGAAGAAGCCTTCACCTTCTTTTTTATCCTCTTGTGCGCGCCGCCAACTTCCGCTCCCTCCAGTCGCGGCGGTGCCTGCAGCGCGCTTCGATCGTGTAACTGCGCGGGCCTCCCTGGACCTCTCGACTCCTCCTCCTCCTCCTCCTCCTCCTCCTCCTCCTCCTCCTCCTCCTCCGCCTCCTCCGCCTCCTCCGCCTCCTCCTCCTCCCCTTCCTCCTCCGCGCCTCTTCCTCCGTGCCTCCTCCTCCTCCTCCTCCGCCTCCTCCTCCTCCCCCTCCTCCTCCGTGCCTCCTCCTCCGTGCCTCCTCCTCCGTGCCTCCTCCTTCGTGCCTCCTCCTCCGTGCCTCCTCCCGCAGCATGCCCGCGCGTGCCCGGGCGGCCGCCAGGCCCCCGCTGCTCGCCGGCCCGGGGCTGGGCGTGCCCGTGGGTCGACCCGGACTGCCCCCCGCCCACGCGCCCGCCCCCGGCCTGGGAGACATACACGCTGTTCTCGGGGGCGGAAAAGAGGGGGGTGATGACTAGGGGGGGGGGATATCATGGCGGGGGGCATGATATTTCCTCAGATTTCATGGCGCCTCTTCTTATTTCATTACGTCCCTGGCCCCCCCGCTGGGCCGCGCACATGCCGCCGGTCATGATTTGCACCCCCCCCTCTTGGACACCCCCTTTTTGGCCGCTCCCGATGTTCATTTCGAGTTCTTCGAGAGTTCTTTGATTTTTTGGGGGGGGCCAAGATGCGGTCGGTTTTTTGAATTGTTCCATCCTGGGTCTCTTCCTGGCCACCAGGGGGCCAGGAACAGCCAGAAACGAGCACAATTAGAAAAGAGCACGATTAGACATTAGCGACGTGTGCCTACAACATCTGTTGTGGCTGCTCATTTTTAGGCCTCCCAGATGGGGTCCGAGTAGATGGGGTCGGAGGATCGCGTCACATCGCCGATGCATCGCCGATGCTGCTCGATGTGGAACGTGATTTGCTCCGCGTCGATTTCGCCGATGCATCTCCGACGTCGACGATTCATCGCCGGTGCATCGCCGAGACATCGTCGACGTATCGGCGATGCGGCGCGATCCTCTGACCCCATCTTCTCCGACCCCATCTTGGAGGCCTCTATCATTTCCTCAGCGGCAGCTATATTCAGAGGTGCCGCACGGTATCTAAAATTCTTCTCTAAACCATCTGTGTGTTACAGCGTTCTCTTCGAGAACATGTGATGCGAATGGATATCTTTCAAAAACAGATGCGCTCAGATACCATTGCTTTCTTGCTTTAGATGCGACTAGATACGGAACCTACGTTGTCTTACTAATTTTAGATACGGGATCATTTTTCTATACGAATGCATATGTTTATATATGTTTAGATAAGGTGCAATATGGCGCCCATCGCTGGAAAACATGTCTAACAACACTGCATACGAATACATACGGGGCCATGTCTCCACTGCCACGCCATGACCACGAACAGGGAAGACACTGCATATGTCAGTCAGGACGACGACGAGGAGGAGGAAGTGAAGTGGGAAATCATGTCGAACCGATGGGATAAGGGGGGACGGCGGGCGAACCGAACAATCACGAGGACGAGGAGGACGAAGCAGAGGAGCCATTCTCTTCAATCGTCGCTCTACTTCATCCCCGTCCTGACTCCCCCTCCTCCACGTTTTCCTCCTGACGCTCTCTCCCGTCTCCACTAGATCCGTCCCACTGGTCCCTGCTCAACTCCGACAGCACAGCCAACAGCATCCGTTCTGACAGAATAAGATACGGATAGATAAGACGCGGCAGTGTCATTCTTTGAAAATTAGACACGAACGGATCTGCAATCTTGAAGAAAATAGATACAGTCCCAGATGTTTCGATGTTCTTGTTCAAATACGGCGGCGCTCGAGAACAATCAGGGGACGATTTGTTTTGGACTATGTTTGGCCTTTTTTGAATATGGTTTGTAATTCTTTGCTGTTTCGTCCAAATTCATCCTGTCGGAGGACATGCCCGACCGAAGTCCAGGGGAACGGGTCGAGGCCTCTGCGTTGCCGAAATCTGCGGGCTCCCCCGCCTCCTCGAGCAGCTTGGCGCCTCGCGCTGCGAGGTCGCAGTGAAGGCCCAGCAGGGGAGTCCAGGATGGGGCCAGGCATCGCCAGGAGAAGTCTCGAGCAGGTTTCTGCCGGGGGCCCGCAAACGGGGTGGTGACCACACCGTGCGGTGAGTCGGTGGGGATTCGGGTCGTTGGTTTTGAGACCCAGGTCGTTCTCCGAGGACGTCTCGGGCGACTGGGGCATCCGAGGTCCCAAAATTGTGAATTGACGGACCGTGCGGTGAGGTCTTGGGGGATTTCGAGGTCACCACACGGTCTGTCACCGCACCGTTTCAGGACTCCAAAGTGATGGGCTATATAAGCGAAGTAGCTTTCAACAAGGTAGCCCGCGCCCCAGGAAGCTATTGCGATCGCCTCTGCGACGCGCAGACGTTCCGCGCACGGGTCGAGACTTCTGGGGGTCCGCGTTATTACAACCATGAGGTCGGGGGCCTGGTCAGTACGTATCTAGCGCCGGAGCGGATCGTGAGCGCAGACAGTAGCCCGCGGCCCAGACAAATCCGGACGATTCGAGACACCAGGACCATCGCGCTTCGCTGGAGAAAGAAAAGCGTAGTTCTGAGTTCTGGTCGCAACGGGGCACGCTGCTCATTGCAAAAGCCAGGCTTTGACGCGGGTCGCGGTTTACGTCTTTTCCGTCCGTGACCCCGTCAGCGTCAGGAATATATATATATATATATATATATATATATATATGACCGATTGTCGGTTTCACGATCGCACGCCTGAGCATATCATCGAACAAAACGAGTCAATGACTGCATGCAGGGCCGCCCGGCGGGCCCAGCGAGCCTAGCAGGCCCGGCAGGCCCGGCGAGCCCAGCAGGCCCGGCGGGTCCGGCGGGCCGGGCGGGCCTGGCGGGCCGGCGGGCCCTTGGAAGACAAGGGTGTCGTGTCTATTCGACCGCACGGTTCCTTGACACTCTTCGCTCATTCACGAGGCGCGCGCGTGTGTATTTTGATGTGTCGCGTATACAGTGGACTACAATGTTTCGTGGCTGTATATTGTGTGTGTTCTTCAAAACGGACATGCTTAGACACGTATAAACATGTTTGTATTTTAGCATGACAAGACACTTTTTAGACACGAGTGCATTTCGGACACGGATAGTCACGCTGAGACATGCGTAGACATTTTTAGACGCGTTCGAATTCGACACGGGTAGGCACGGAAAACAATTACCCTGTGACGTACCCAACCCTTTCATGGGCATTCTGAAGGACCCGCAGTGCGCAAGAAGAGCATCCAGCAGTGATTTCAGAAGAGCGCATCGAGAAGAGGAACGGCAAATATACGAAATGGAAACACAGGGGCGTTGACAGAAACGCGCCCAAAGAGTGAGCACAAAAGGGCGTGGCGGCGAGAGCTAAAACACCACGAAAGCCTCCGCTGGGCCTCCCAAGCCCACGAAAGTGGCGACAGTCGCGCAGATCGCAATCCCCTTAGGGGGCGGCGAGGTCCCGAGGTGGTCCGCGTATGACGTACCTCTGCTGGGCCCCCCAGGAGCCCACGAGAGTGGCGACAGTTGCGCAGATCGCAAGCCCCCCACTGGGCGGCGAGGTACCGAGGTGGTCCGCGTATGACGCATCTTCGCTGGGCCTCCCAGGAGCCCACGAAAGAGGCGACAATTGCGCAGATCGCGAGCCCCCCAGGGGGGCGGTGAGGTACTGAGGTGGTCCGCGTGGGACCCACCTCCGCTGGGCCTCCCAGGAGCCCACGAAAGTGGCGACAGTTGGGTCTCGGGCCGTCTCGGAAGCTTCTTGGGCCATCGTGTGGGAGCTCGTTGGGGCCGTCTACCGGCAAGGCGTCCCACCTCCTCGCTCACATTGCTGGTCCAGAGGTCGGCATGAACTATCTGTCATGCCTTCCTCCCGGAGGTCCACTTTGCGCTTCTCGTGCGAGGATTTTTCGGCACAGGCACGGCCCGAGACGAGAGATGACCGCGGCCAGGGTGGCCCACGGCACGGCCGCTGACGCGTGTCTGGCTGGCTCCGCCGCGGAGCTGGCCGCCGCCGCGGCGGGGCCGCAGGACGCCGCAGCCTCGCCCGCTGGCCCGCAGGAGTCGGTGGCGCCGGGGGCGTTGCCCGCGGATGCGGCGGATCCGCTGGCGGCGCGACCAGCGCAGCGGGAGGCTGCGGAGTCGGCCCTCGACCCGAGCAGGATCGGCAGGTGCTCCGGCTGCAGGCGCTGGCACTCCGACGTGCCGGAGGGGCCGCCGCCGAGGCTGGGAGGCGATGGCTGGTGGCACTCAGGAGCGGAAGAAGGACGCACACGCACGCATGCACACTGGTTTCTTCGAAGGTATGCATTGCGCGGACATTCGTAACACGATCGGCTGGCCTCGTGGACTCTGGGGCCGCGGCTGGGCGCGTGCGTCCTTTGTTGTGGGCTCCCCAGGTACTGCCACGAGTGCTGGCCGGAGTGGTGGCTGGAGGTCGAGGACCCTGGCTTCCCAGACCCCCGCGGGCAATGAAAAACTCATGACGGGAGGTTTCTCGCTATTCTCGGCCTCCAGGGGCCCTTACCGGGCCTCGGGAGCGTCAAACAACGTCTCAGGAGGAAAAGCCGGTCCAGGGGAATGTGTCCAGACCTCTGAGGGTCGACGTTATGAAAAAATCATTGCGTCGGGGGTCTGGGTTTGGATCTGCCGTGCGTAGGTCGATTCTCCGATTTCAAATCGTGTCGGAAAAATACACCAGACGGAGCGAACAAATGGGGGCAGAGGTTCCCGCCTCAGCAAGGTCGCAGGGTGGATGTTTCGAAACAGCGACGGCAAAGTATAGGGCGAACCTCGACGCCAGAGGAGCTCGAAATGTGGCGGGGATCTCCGCTCTGCTTGCGAGATCGCCCAGAGCACGGCGGATCCGACGCTGGAGGAGGGCGACCCGGCGTCGCCGCCGATCAACCGCCTGTACGCGCGGTGGTGCGCCTTCCGGGAGGACGCCTTCGCAAACATGTTTCCGGCGGCCAGCACCCTGCCGGGCATGGGGCCCGGCGCGGCCGAGCCCTGTGGGGCGCAGGGCGGCGTCTGCACCGTGGTGCGCCCCGGGGACGCCTCGTCCGCGGCCGAGGCCGCGCGCATCTTCTTCGAGCACGGCTTCGTGGTGCTGCGCGGCGCGCTGGCGGCGCCGGCGGCGCGCGAGGTGCTGCACACGTGCCGGCGCCTGCACGAGGCGGTCCGGGGGCTCGACCCCGTGGGCATGGGCAACAGGGGCCGCGGCAGGTACTCCTTCCACACCGCCGTCGGGCCGGGCCAGTGCCTGCACCTCAGCGCCTACGCCCGGCACCTGGTGGACAACCCCGCCGTGCTCGACACGCTGGACGCCATCTTCGCCGCGGCCGGCCGCCTGGACGTGGCCGCCGTGCAGCAGCTGCGGCACGAGGCCAGCCCCGCCGCGAGCCGCGGCGGCGGCGGCCAGCTGCCCTTTGGCGCCGCCGCCGACCGCGCGACAACAGAGGGCGGTCGCCCTGGCGCGGGGGCGCATCGAAGAACAAAAAGCGGCATCCCCTCGGCCTGCACCCCCAAGGTCGCGTTGAACAATCACGACGTGCGATTTTTGCCAGTTTTCGGGCCCCATGGGGGCTCCGCTGAGCCCCAAGACCGTCAAGGAATCAAGGAACGACTCTGGGTGAGCAGCTGGTCCTGGGGAATGGGTCGCGACCTCTGGGGGTGGACGGTGTGAACAAAAAATGAGTCATCCCCTCGGCCTGCACCTTCCGCACTTTCGCGCGGCAGGTGCCGCGGTGCCGCGGCCGCCGCCGCAGCCGCAGCGGCGGCCACTGTGGAGGCCGCAGCGGCTGCCGCGGCGGCCGCATCGCGGCGGCACCTTCCGCGCGGAAGGTGCGGAAGGTGCGGAAGGTGCAGGTCGAGGGATGAACATGATCTTTCGGAGGTCCGCGCGGATGTCTTGGATCGGCGTTCGGGCCCCTCAGGCCGCGCCTTTGGAGCCGCCCCTGGCGCGCTCCGCGCGCCACGCAGGGGGGGGTCCGGCGCCGATCCAAGAAACACGCGCCGACCTACGTTTATGCCGCTGTTGGTTCCTCTAGAGCAGTACCACGTCACCGGCGCCGGGGGGGACTTCTGCGAAGGCTGGGTCCGCGAGTACCAGTCGATGATTCTCAGGGCGTGTGTTAGCCCAAGCGTGCTCCGCCGATCTCAAGCGCGCAGCCCGCTTCGGCCCTCGCTGCACCGCCTGCGTCGGACTGCAGGGGCCTCGGGCGGAACCGCCCGCCGCCCGCGCTGGACCTCGCAGCCGGCGGGGCGGGGCCGAGCAGGGCAGGCGCACGGCGCTCCAGGACCCAGACAGGATCGCGTCGTAAACAAAAAACAGGACGGGAGGTTTTGGGCGAGTGTCTGGGCCGCGGGGAGCCCTCGCCGGGCCTCGGGGCCGCGTCCCAAAACGACTCGGGATGAAAGAAACCGGTCCCGGGGAGAGGGTCGGGACTTCCAGGGGCCCCGAGTATTGGAAAAGTCAGGACCTCGCATGTCTGGGGAGCGAGGGAGCGGGCGTGACCGGGGGCCCGCCCTTGAAGGAGAATGCGGCCAGGAACTTTTGCACAGTTTGCGTGTCGCGGCGGCGGCCCGGCGACACGCTATGCCCTGCGAGTGGATGCAGTCGAGACCGATTACTAGTAGGTCGACCCTGCCAGATCGAGGGTGCCCTTGTGTCCCGAGCTTCGCGACCCATGCCTCCCTACATTCCTGTGGCAATGTGGCCCTCGGAAGGGTCTTGTGCCCTCTCGCGCATCCTCTCCCATCAACCCTGGAGGGTTTCTCCGAAGGGCTTAGGCGACCCGTCCTCCATCTCCTCCTCCTCCTCCTCCTCCTCCTCCTCATCCTCCTCCACCTCCCTCCTCCTCCTCCTCCCTCCCTCCTCCTCCTCCTCCTCCTCCTCCTCCTCCTCCTCCCTCCTCCTCCTCCTCCTCCTCCTCCTCCCCTCTCCTCCTCCTCCTCCTCCTCCTCCTCCTCCTCCTCCTCCTCCTCCTCGGACCGCCTACGGCCCGGGGGGAAGCCGTGCAAGCAACCCCGGCTGTAGCGTGCCGTTGCGCTCCGCGGGGAGCGGGAGGTCAGGAATGGCTCGGGGCGCTGGCGCTACACGTCACGCGCTGGGGATCCTCGGGCCAGCCGCTGCACAGCGACTACGGGCGCGCGCGGCCGCTGCGGGGCGCGCCGTGGTTGCGCAACCCGGGCTACGGCCCAGACGCGCCCGTGCACGTGCGGGAGGCCTGGGCGCGAAGTGCGTGGGGGGGGCGATCAGTGGGGCGGGAAGGTCGACCGCGCGCAAGAGTGACCCTCTTCGCCGAAGTGACCTTTGGTACGGGCCCACTGGGGTCTCCCGATCGCCGAACGCGGTGCGGTGGTAGCGTCTTGCGCGCTTGCGTTTGGTCCCCCCGCGGCCCCCCCGAAAGCCGCGCACCAGAGGTCACGCTTACCCAGGGTCACTCTTGCGTGTAGTCGAGAAGAGAGGTGCCCGCTTCGGGCCCGAAAGGCCCCCCTTCTGGGCCCGAGCGGGCCCCCTCTCTTCGTTTCGGGGCCCTCCAGAGGGCCCACCCTTTTTCCTGCAGCCCTCGCCGCACTCCCCCCCCCCGCCCTGTGATCGCCCCCCCCCCAGTTTGATCGCGGCCCGAGAGGCCCCGCCCGTGGTCTCGGTGAACTTCGCCGTGCAGCCGCAGCACCGCTGGAGCCCCGCGGCGCGCGCTCACGGGGGGAAGGAGCGGCGAGGCTCCGAGGGCGAGAGGGCCGGTCGAGGCCGCGGCTGGCTTCCCCAGCGCTTCCCGCCCCAGGGGCTGCTCGTCGCCGCGGCCGGATCCGCCTCGAAAGACAGGCGACCCTCGGACGTGTGCAGTGTCATTCGGCGAGAGCCATCGAGGAGCATCATGGGCCATCTGGTGAAGCATCAAGCACGCTCGAAGTCTAGAGATGCACGGGGAAGGGACGTCCAGGCGATGGCGAGCGAACGGCAGGCCAGGATAACTTATGGACCCTGGCAGGGGTCCGGGGACCGCTCTTGAGCGGACTTGCGCCAGGAGGGGGGGGGAGGGGCGGCCGCCGGTGTCTCAACCGTGGCCCTCCTCCGAGAGGGGCGGGCGGACTGTTGAGGAGACCGGTGCGTCCCGCCTGCTGACGAGAGCCTCCCTGGAAGCATCTGGGGCCCTTCTCGAGGCGGGCCCTGCCTTGCTGGAAGGGCCGACCCCCCTCCCTGCTCCTGCTCCTCCTCCTCATCCTCCTCCTTCTCCTCCTCCTCCTCCTCCTCGCTTCTCCCTCCTCCCTCCTTCTCCATCCCTCCTCCCTCCTCCCTGCCTCCTCCCTTCTGCCTCCTCCCGCTTCCCTCCTCCCCCTTGGGGGTGGTTTCCGCCCCCCTGGCGTGTCCGCGGGGTAGGCCAGGGTCGGACGGATGCCTGTCTGGGCTGCTTCGGGGCCCTTCCCTCGTCGCCACGGCGCCCGCGCAGCGTGCTCGGGGCGGCGCGGACCCTTGACATCTGGGGCTGACATCTGGGGCCCTGGCGGTCGTCTGCGTGCAGACGGTCGCCAGGGCTTTTTGGATGATGCTCCATCCCTCCCTCCCTCCCTCCCTCCATCCATCCCTCCCGCCCTCCCGCCCTCCCGCCATCCTCCTCCTCCTCCTCCTCCTCCTCCTCCTCCTCCTCCTCCTCCTCCTCCTCCTCCTCCTCCTCCTCCTCCCTCCTCCTCCTCCTCCCCCCCCCCTGCCCCGCCCCTCTCTGCGCGCCGCCGAGGAACGGAGCCATGCGCTTGATCCCGTGGGGAGAGATGGAGAGGTTCATGGTGGAGTACCAGGACGGCCTGCCTTCCTCCCTCCTTCTCCTTCCTCCCTCCTTCCTCCCTCCTCCTTCCCCTTCCTTCCCTCCCCTCCTCCCTCCGCCTCCCCCCTCCACCTCCTCCTTCGCCCTCCTCCTCCTCTCCCCCTCACTCCCCCTCACTCCTCCTCCTCCTCCTCCTCCTCCTCCTCCTCCTCCTCCTCCTCCTCCTCCTCCTCCTCCTCCTCCTCCTCCTCCCCCTCCTCACCAGGACGGCCTGGCGGACTACGTGCGGGACATTTGAGCGACGCAAAGAAGGGGGTCGTCTTCACCGACATGGGCGCGTGAGCTGCCCGCGCAAGGTCGCACGTAAGCGCTCTCTCTCTCTCTCTCTCTCCAATATGTGGTGCCGCGCTAGCGGCCCGCGCAAGCCGCCGCGTAAGGTCGCTATGCCATCTCGCGCGAGACCCGCTTCTTTTTCGTCGCTCACCTCGGAGGAGAAAGGGCTGCACAAGCAGAAGTGCTCGGAGCTCCGCGCGCATTTCCTGGACCCGAGCGGGGCCCCGCTGCAGCGCCTCCAGCCTCGCCCCTGGCGCGCTCCGCGCTTCAGGGAAGGGGGTCCAGGGTCGATCCCAGAACTCCGCGCGGACCTCCGAATGTTTCTGTTCCTGCCGCCTCTGTCTTCCTCTGACATCGAGCTGCCCCCCAGCCTGGCGAAGGAGCTCAAGCTGTGCCGCAGCTGGCTGGCCTCGCGCACCTTCCCGCTGCACCCCGGCGACGCCCTGGTGCGCGACGTGCGGGTCTGGCACGGGGGCTGCCCGAACCTGTCCATGCTGCCGCGGTACATGCCCTCCGTCGAGTTCTGCAGCCAGGCTCGGGCTCCGCGGCCTGGCCCGAAGGATGAAACACGTTGCCTAAACTTGCCTTTTCTGCCTCGAGCGACTCCCGCCCGAGAACGCGAGGCGGGGTCCCCAGGGAGCACCGACACCCCTGGGACTTGGCGGCCGCGGCATGCAGTCGTCGTTTGCAGGTTCGCGGGGGTTTCTTGGCTCGGTGTTGGACCCCCATGTTCTGCCCTGGTTTCGCGCGCCAGGGGCAGCACCGGAGGCGCCGACAGGGGGTCCAGTGCCGATCCAAGGAATCTGCGCGGACCTCTGGAGCTTATGTGTATATGCAGTTTTTGGATCTTCTACTGGCGGGTCAATCAACACCGCGGTGCCAACGTCATCGGGAGCCCCCAGTTTGTCGATGATGCCTCGGTGTATGCCTTCCGACGAGTTTTCCAGCCGGGCTCGAGCTCTGCAGCCAGGCGGGATGGTTGACGCCGCGGCCCCAGCGTGATCGGGAGCATTCTTCACATCTCCACCTCCATTGAGATTGACGGAGGGCGTCTGACAGCAGTTCGATGTTTGCTCATCAGAACTTTAAGCAAACTGTGTGAGTGTCCTCCCTATTTCAGCTCCGCCTATAGCACACAGACTACGTCGGCCATCATTGCGACGCCTGCGTCGTATGGAAGGGCTTCTGTGGACAAGCACAAGCTGGCGCTATCGCGCGTTATGAGGACCATCGAGCAGTGCGCGCGGACGTCGAGTAGGGGTCTCCTTGGACGGGCAGACCCGTGGCAACTCGGAGGCTCCAGACATGGACACTTCCTGAGGCGCATTCTCAACCTCTGGAGAGCACTACGGCAGCCCGCGTCTGGCCACGGGTGCGGACCTGCACCCGGAGGGGGCACACCGAGCGGGCACGGCCACTCTTGCGAACAGTGGAGCACTCTTGCCAGCAGGCCAGAGCGCATTGACCTCGAGCAGCGAGCACCTGCCACAATGTAGCCGTGCGGTGCGAACATAATCTGTTCCTCGAGCGGGTGCAAGCAAAAGCGGAGGAAGAGAAGAAGGAGGAGGAGGAGGAGGAAGAGGAGGAGGAGGAGGAGGAAGAGAGGAGGACGAGGAGGAGGAAGAGGAGGAGGAAGAGGAGGAGGAAGAGGAGGAGGCCGATGAGGAGGGGAGGAGGAGGAGAAGGAGGAAGAGGAGGCCGAGGAGGAGGGAGGAGTAGGAGGAGGAGGAGAAGGAGGACCAGTGGAAACCCAAGAGTCATCAACGATGTTGGAGTGAACCCGCCCTCCAAGCTCCATCTTCATAGGCCCCTACAACGGTTCATTTCTATTGAGGAAATTGCTTCGCTGGAAGACAACACTTTGAAGATCCTGAAGCGTGCCAAAACATAGTTTTCGGGATTTCAACGCCACATGTTGCGCGACATCTTCGCCGGGGCAGCGGAGGACGTGCCGCCGCCTTCCCTCACAGAGGCGCCGTTCACCATGCAGGAGATTGACAGGGGCATCCGGCGTTTGGGATCAAACAAGGCCCCGGACGAACGTGGCCTAGTGGCGGAAGTGTTGAAGCACTCGAATGTTGAATTGAGGGAGATATTACTTACGCTGTACAATGCTGTGCTTGCTGGCGGGGACGTTCCGGAATCATGGCGCAAGACGTTCTTCATCATGTTGGCAAAGAAGACGCACGCCAAGGCAGTCGGATATTTTCGACCTATAGCGAGCATCCGTCTTCTCTACAAGTTGTTTGCATACATGTTGCTGGGGCGCGTCGAGCACGTGCTAGAGTCGCAACGACCAGAGGAGCAGCACGGCTTCAGATCTAATAGGCGTCTGGAGGAGCATCTTTTGACAACAACTCTTGTCATTGAGAAGACTTTGGCGGCGAATGTTCCGCTCTGGATCGTGAGTTTGGACTTATCAAAAGCGTTCGACCGAGTATCTTGGGCTGCGTTGTGGGGGGCTCTGCGGCAGCTCGGCGTCAGCGACCATCTGATTTGGACACTGCACCGTCTGTGCCGTGACCAGGAAGGGCAAGTCTTGGGCGATTGGGGCAGAAGCCAGGCATTTCCGATCAATGCTGGCGTTCGCCAGGGGTGCGTGCTCAGCCCGGTTCTTTTCACAGCTGTCTTGGAGTGGGCCATGCGTGCGTGGAGAGCTCGCATTTCGCATCTTGGATTTGATTTGGGCGACGGTTTGAGGTCGCTCATAGACTTACGCTTTGCCGATGACATCTTATTGTTTGCCTCATCGGGCGAAGCCAACTTGCAGCTGGACGCACTGGTCGACGAATTGGCCAAAGTTGGGTTGGTTCTGAATGCGGCCAAGACGGCGGTGATGACAACAGAGGCGCAACCTCCACAAGAAATTACCACGCGGGCCGGCGCAACAATCCAAGTCCTCCCCCGGAGTACCGCCCACAAGTGGTTGGGATGCATGCTGTCCGTGGGTGGTTCTGGAACGCACAATTTGGACGCGGAGTATCATCTGACATCCGCAAGCAAAGCTTTTTTTGCAAACAGGGACATTCTATGCGACAGGAATGTTTCTCTCGCTGCCCGGCTTGAGTTCTTCATCCGCGTCGTGACGTCAGTGGCGTGTTTCGGAGTTGGTGTCTGGAAGCCGTACAGCGATTCACTGCACGGGGTAGACGTTGCATTCCGGCGTCTGATGCGGCAGGTCGTTGGCCCGCCTGCAGGCGTGGATTGGTCCCAACCGTGGCATGAGACTCTGCATTTATGGCACGAAAAGCTCAGCCAAGCATTGGCGGAACATGGTCTTCGCACATGGTCGAGAGAGTCCATGAAAAAAAGTATTGGGATCTGGCAGCACACGTTGCGGGTTTACCTCCTGATCGGTGGGTGCAGAGAGCCTTGCAGTGGACGCCGTCGGGATCACGCTCACAGGGTCGTCCTCTTCTGTCATGGGACGCGAAGCTATCTTCGTTCTGCCAGGCGAACCACATCGGACCGTGGCAAGAAGCTGCACAAGATGACTCAGCATGGGTGGAAATGACAGAAGATTTCCTGGACTTCTGCACGTCGACGTGAGCAGGCGCGATGCTTCCTTTGCGCACCAGGCCTGAATAGTGACTGGCATTTGATTTTTCCTTCGTGCCCTATATTGGCCCGCCCTCGTGCGAGCGGGGTGACTTGACTTGACTCAGCGCCACGTATCAACCTTACTGCTGCGTCTTGACGATCCAGAGTCGTGCCAGAGTACCCTTTTGGGGGACTTCAACACAGCGAACCTGTTGCGCCCGCATAATCCTCAATCCTTTCAAAACACCATTTCTGGTACGCTGATCATGGGAATCCGTGAAACTCTTGCAAGTGTTTTAGATATGTGCGCGGCGCGAAGGCGAGAGCCACATCTTAAAAAGGAATTGCCTTCAATCCGTGAAACTCTTGCAAATGTTTTGAACGAATCTGCGCGGCACTAAGGCGATAACCACATTTTGAAAACCATCCGCCCTCAATCCATGAAGCTCTGGCGACTTGTTCAAAACGAATGTGCGGGGCGCTAAGGCGAGAGCCACATTTTGCAAACCACCCGCCTTCAATCTGTGAAACGCTTGCAACTGGTTAAAACGAATGTGCGCGGCGCGAAGGCGAGAATCACATTTTGAAAACCACCCGCCCTCTATCCGTGAAGCTCTTGCGAATTTGTCCAAACGAATGTGCGCGGCGCCAAGGCGAGAGCCACATTTTGAAAGCCACCCGCCCTCAATTCGTGAAAAGTCTGCAAAACGTTAAAACTAATGTGCGCGGCGCTAAGGCGAGAGCTACATTTTGAAAACGACCCGCCCTCCATCTGTGAACCTGTTGTCGCTTTTCAAGCTTCAGGGTCATAAATGGTGAGGAAGTCCCATGCCCAGCCCGCCCTGAAAACTGGCCTTGGGGTGCGGCAGGGGGGATTTATCGATAAGGAGAAGGAGAAGAGGAGGAGGAAAAGAGGAGGAGGAGGAGGAGGAAGAGGAGGAGGAGGAAACGGAAGAGAAGGAAGACTCGGATGGCTCCGCGCGGAGCGGGCAGTATCAACGAACCTAGGCCGCGCGGTCCAAGAGCGATGCCCAGGTGCGCAACGGGGGGGGAGCTCTGGGGCCCCCGCAGTCGATCTCATGACGGGCGGGCTCCTCCTCCTCCTCCTCCTCCTCCTCCTCCTCCTCCTCCTCCTCCTCCTCCTCCTCCTCCTCCTCCTCCTCCTCCTCCTCCTCCCCTCCTCCTCCTCCTCCTCCTCCTCCTCCTCCTCCCTCCTCCTCCTCCTCCTCCTCCTACTCCTACTCCTACTCCTACTCCTACTCCTACTCCTCCCCCTCCCTCCGTCCTCCTCCTCCCCTCCTCCTCCTTTTCCTCCTCCTCCTCCTTTTCCTATTTCTCCTCCTCCTTCCCCTCCTCCGTCCCTCCTCCTCCTCCTCCTCCTCCTCCTCCTCCTCCTTCTCCTTCTCCGCCTCCCCCCCCCCCCCTGCGGCTCGCTGCTCCCCTCAACTTGCCACCGCTCGCCGAGCCGCCCCAGCGGTGCCTGGAGGCTTCGGGGCACTCCCGTGTTGGTTGCGAGGCTCCTGGAGCGACTCGCGGCGTTACCGTCGCGTTCGATCGTTGGGGTGTGGCTTTCGTTGCTCGGATGTTTCCGAAGCCAGCCATGTGCCAGGCCAGCTCGCGCGTCCGCGCGCGCAGGCACGCGGGGCAGCGTGCTTCGAGCTGGCTGGCGTCGTCCACCGTGGAGGGAAAACAAGCCGCCCCCGGCAGGCCATGCTCGAATACTTCGGCGGCAGGTATGAGAAGCCGTGGCCCAAGCGCACGCTCCCCGACGCCCTCGCCACGGGCCTGTCCGACCGCGCGCGGCGGGCATGCGCCAGGGTCGTCGCGGCGCCGGGCGACGAGTTCGTGGGCGGCAGCGTGGACGACTACGGTCGTCCGGGCCCAACTCTCCGAGCGTGTTCCACTACTCGCGACAGTGCCTACTCGCAAACGTTCGAAAAGCGCATGCTCGCCTCGATATCATCGATCGTAAGACCCCCGCGGTGGATCCAGCCATGTGCGAGCAGTTCCTCTGCGAGGAGTGGGGCGCGCGTGTCCACCAGCGCAAGAGCGCCCGTCGGTGTACACCACGCCCTCGGGTCTGCCGAGGAGCCACGGAGCTCGGCGACAGAGCTCGGTGCACGGGCGCTGGAGCGCCCCACGGTTTGGGAAGCTGGGGCGTCCGTACGCCGAGCTCCTCGGCCGACCAGACGACTCGGTAGCTGCTTGGGGCGCCTCCGGGTCCGCGACTCGATCCGGTCGGCCGCGTCGAGGTCGGCTGCATTCGGCACCTGGTCGGCCCACTTCGTGCTGCTGCCTCGTCGTCGCGTCCCCCTAGGCTGCGTTCGGCCGGCCTGCCTCCGTCGGCCTCGGCCTCGTCGTCGGCCTGGCCGGTGCATGCCTCCGCCGTGGCTGCCGCCCGCGGGCATGCGTGCAGAGCGTGGGTGGCATAACTGGCGTCGGCCCCCGCGCACGAGCACCCGTGCGGCCCAAGAGGGCTGCGTGTCGGCGGGCAGGGAGGCGACAGGGGGGCGGAGGTGGGTGCGGCGGGGGGGGGGGGGCCGGGAGGGGGGCGGGCCCGGAGAGGCAGGGGCGGGGGCAGGCGGTGGCAGCGGCGGGCGGGCGGAGGCGGAGAGGCAGAGGCAGAGGCATGGCGAAGCAGAGGCAGAGGCGCAGACACATCGAGAGAGAGAGAGAGAACAAAAAAAGCAAGCAAAGTATCGATACATATACATATATGTCGGCGGTGCCCCGTGGCACGAACCCCCCCCCTTCCCGGGGGGGTTCGTACAGGGCGCACCCGGTGCCGCCGACGACCTGGAACCCCCTCTCTCCCTCTTTCCCCGGGGGTTTTGTACCGGGCGCACCGGCGCACCCCCCCCCTTGCGGTAGTGGGGTGGGGGGCTCCTGTGGGAGTGGGGGGGGCTCCTGTGGGGGCGGGGGGGATGCGTGGGAGCGAGGGGGGTGGGTCTTTGGGGCGTGGACGTGGGGTGGGAGGGAGGACTAGATGGATGAATGGAGGTACGGATGGATGGACGGTTCGACGGACAGATATTAGATAGATGGTCCAGGGTCTGCCCCCCCCTCATGCTGATGCCATCGGGCCCGTCGTCGTCGTGGTGGTGGTCGTCGTCGTCGTCCCCGTCGTCGTCGTCGTCGTCGTCGTCGTCGTCGTCGTCGTCGTCGTCGTCGTCGTCGTCGTCGTCGCGGTCGCGGGGGGGGGAGTTCAGAAGGGTTGGGGGGAGCCGCGGAGTGCGATGAAGTTGGGAGGAGTCGGGAGGGGCCGGGAGGAGTGCTCAGAGCGATGGAATGGGGAGGAGTCGGGATAAGTGCCGAGGAGGGCCGAAGAGTGCGATGGAGCGGGGAGGAGTCGGGGGGAGTGGTGAAGAGTGCCGAGGAGTGCGACAGAGTGGGGGAGAGTCGGAGAAGGGGGGGGAGTCCCGGGAGACTTCCAGGGATTCTGGGGGCCTCTGGAGGTCTTTGGATGTCGTCGTCGCCGTCGCCGTCGTCGTCCTCGTCCTCGTCCTCGCCCTTGTCGTGCTCTTAATCGTCGCCGTCGTCGTCGTCGCCGTCGTCGTCGTCATCGTCGTCGTCGTCTTCGTCGTCAGCGTCGTTGTCGCAGTGAGAAGTGCGATGGTGTGGGGATGAGTCGGGAAGAGTGCCGAGGAGGGCGATGGAGCGGGGAGGAGTCTGGGACAACTGGGAGGAGAGCCGCGGAGTGCGATGGAGTGGGGAGGAGCTTGGAGGAGCGGGGGGGAGTGCTGAGAATTGCGATGGAGTGGGGAGGAGGCGGGAAGAGTGCCGAGGAGGGCCGAAGACTTCGATGGAGTGGGGAAGAGTCGGGAAGCGGTGAGGATTGCCGAGGAGTGCGACGGAGTGGGGAGGAGTTGGAGGAGGGGTGGGGAGCCCCAGGGAGACCTCCGGGAGATTGCGGAAAGCCGGCCCCCTACTTCCGGGAAGCTCCGAGAACATCCGGCCTCCTAATTCCGGGAAGCTTCTGGGGCTGCGGGGGCCCCAGGGGATCTCTGGATGTCGTCGTCGCCGTCGCCGACACCGCCGTCGCCGACGCCGCCGCCGACGCCACCGCTGGACGCTCGCACACGCTGCCCGGGCGCTGCCCCGCGCTCTGGCCATCCCGGGGGGTTTCGTACTGGGGCGCACCCGCGGGGCGTCCCGGGGGGGTTCGTACTGGGGCGCACCGGCCCCGGGTTTCGTGCATCCCGGGGGGGTTCGTACCGACCTGCACCGGCGGTGCGGCCAGCACGAAACCCCCAGGACGAGCGATTCCGGGTGGGGGGTTCGCTCCGCACCGGGCACCGCCGACACATATATATATATATATACACACACATCGAGTAACGATACAGTCAATGGGCAAATACAGGGAGATGCGTATATACACCATATTCTACACTTTCCATGCCACAGAAGAAGGCACCAGTCGCCGTCGGGGAGTTCCCAAGCCCTTGGGGGGTCGGGGACCCTGTGATCAACGCTGTTCAAGCTGAACGGCGATGAGCAGGAGGTCCCCGACGCACGACCCTCTGATAATCGCGATCCCAGCTTTATTTGCATATATGGACATACATAGAGAGAGATGGAGAGAGAGAGAGAGAGAGGGAGCGACAGAGAATGAGAGAGAGAGAGACAGCGATCGATATGCAAAGCCAGGGACACAGCGAGAGAGAGAGAGAGAGACAGAGCACAAAACAGAGGCAGCATCAACCGGGACGAGGCACATACAGGGGCAAGTGCACAGATGAGCAGATGCACGCTGGAGTCAAGTCGGGTCTGTCCCTCTGCAGGAGGAATGTGTAACAATAGTCCAAACATAGTCGGGGGCGACTTTTCTTTTGATGCCGTTTTTGGTTATGTTTGAAATATGTTTGGACTATCTCTTGTTTTCCGTCCAAAATCTGCCTGTAGGGGGACGTGCCCGACCTAACGCTGGAGGCAGCAGCGCCGAGAAGGGGCTCCCGGCGTGTGGCCGCGTCGCGCCCCCCCCCCGAGGCTGGATGAAGCCGCAGGTGGTCGGCGAGAACCGGCGGAACTTCTTCGCGCACGGCCTGCGCCGGCCCGCACAAAGAGGGCGGCGCGACCCAGACCCCCCTCGCGCTGTGGGAAAATCACGACGGGAGGTTGATCGCCACTCCAAATCCCTGATTCCTCGTCCCCCGGGCCCGGTTTTTTCAGGCGCCTGTTTGTAAGGGGGGGGGGCGTCCGGTTTATTGGGGCGCTTTCTGTGGATCGGAGCTTAGGGGGTCCGGTTTATTGAGGCGCCCCGTCGAAGAGGGGGGTCCGGAACATTAGGTCGCATTTGGAGGGAGGTCCGGTGTTAGGGGCGATTAATAAGGGATTTGGAGTATCGCTACTTTCGGCCTCCAGGGGGCCTCGCCGGGCCTCGGGAGCGTCAAAAAGCGACTCGGGATGCAAAGCCGGTCCCGGGGAATGGGTCCAGGCCTCGGGGGGTCGACGTGAACAAATCATGACGTCGGGTGGCTCCCGGCCACGCGCAGAAGGGGGTAGGGGGAGGGGGGAAGGCCTCTTAGAAGCACCCCTGCTTCTTAGAAGGCGCGGGCCTTCTTCGTAGATGTAAGGCCGGCGCCTTCTAAGAAGCAGCCTCCTTCTAAGAAGCCTTCGCCCCTCCCCCTACCCCCCCTTGTGCGCGCCGCCAAGGCTCGAGGGCAACGACGGGGGGAGATAGGCGTAGGGGGGGAGGCATCGACCCCCAAGCGCCTCTTGATTGCCGATAGGGGCCCGACAGCGCCATCCTGCCCAGGAAGGCGCGGCTTCCCTGTCGGAGGCCTGATCTGTCGGCGATGCCTCGCCGATTCCAGGTCGGTGCATCCCCCCCTGTGCCAGTCCCCCCCCCCCCCCCCCGATCGTTGCCCCTCAGCGGCGCGAGGGGGGCGGCCTTCAGAGAGAGAGCGGGGTGTGTCTTGGAAGGGCCCGGGGGCTTCCACGAAGGCATCCTTGAACCCAGCGATCCGATGCCTCTCGACTTTGCCAATGCGAGGCCCCCAGGAGTCTCAGTCTCGGCCCACTCCCTGGGGCGGGTAATTGCTTTCTTTTCGTCCCGAGTCGCTTCTTGACAGTCCTGGGGCCCGGCGAGGGCTTCCAGAGGCCGGGAGCGGGGAAAACCGTCGTTTGTTGCTTCATTTGTTGCTTCAAAAATGGAAAGTGGTTTTGAATAAGTTCGTTGAATCTCTGGGTCACACACACACACACTTTTTTGCGTCGGCGGCTGGGCAGACGGTGACTGCGCCGGCGGATTGGCAACAGGGGACACGCTGTATGCAAATTAAGGCCGCCATGTGTAGAGGAGGAGGAGGAGGAGGAGGAGGAGGAGGAGGAGGAGGAGGAGCCCTGGCGCGACAGGAAGAGATGAAACCGGGCTTACTCAGAGTCGCCGGCGGCGGCAGGGGAGCGCCGAGGGGGGGAACCACGGCTTGCCAGGTCCGTCCCAATCCATGCGGTCGGGGAGCCCTCCAGTCCAGTTGTGATTGGCCTTCCTGTGCCTACCATTTTCCAAGTGTTCCTTGTGCTGGACGAAGGCGTTGTCGAGTTCGCAGTGCCGCAACCACCATCCGTCCTTAGTCTTGGCCCACATCATAAAGGGCATTGTCGGCATTGAAAGCGAGGTCTCTTCCCCGTGATAGCGCAGGGGCCATGGGGGTCAGGGGCGAACGCTGCGGGCCACCGCTGAATTGACGGGGCCGTGGGTGGGCAACGAACAGTTGCACGACAACTTGCGAGACGCAGCAAGTGGCCAGTCAGGGGGAGGGGCTGCGCAGCCTCAGTGGAGCCGATGCGGCGATATCATTTGGTCCTGCCTTGTGGCGGTCGATCCTGGGACAGGGCCAGTTCCAGATGATCCGCGGCGGCGGAGAGGCAGTCGGGGTCAAGGGGGGCCGCCGACGGGGAGGAGGGAAAAGGAGGGGCCACCCGCCCTGAGGGGCTGTGCCACATGGTCCAGATTTGGACTTGCTCGTGCCCGGCGGGCCGGAGGGCCTGAGCACGGGACGCGCCAATGGTGGCCAGTCTGCCGCTGGCGGTGCTCCAGCGGCGTCGCGCCGCCTGCCGGACCAGGGGCCGCCCCCTCCGAAGGAGGGGCTCTACCGGAGGTGGATAGACCTCCTCCTCCTCCTCCTCCTCCTCCTCCTCTTCCTCCTCCTCCTCCTCCTCCTCCTCCTCCTCCTCCTCCTCCTCCCTCCCACCCTGACACGTCGATTCAGGAATTGGCCGTGTTCGGTTCGCGAGAGGGCGTCGCGGCCGTCGTTGTTGCGGGTCCAGGTCCGTCGGTTTCGGTCCCAGGCCGTTTTCACTAAGGGGAGGTTTACCAAAGGGAGGTTTGTCCACCGCCGACTCTGTAGCCCCAAGTCCACCTGCTCAGCCAGGTGTGGTCTCCGATGTCTGGCAGTCCCGGCTTCGCGCCGGACGGCCGCCAGGCTGTCGCCCACGATTCTGGCTGACCGAAATGGGGGGTTCGTCGTCGCCAGGGCGCTTAATCCTGGCCTACATCCTGCTGCGTCCGCAGTTTGCGCATTGTCAGTCCCTGGTAGGGCAACGATGCATGACGCAAGACGGACCAGTCGGTGGAATGCTGCCACAGGGTGGCGCCTGCGCCAGCGACCCAAGCAGCCTGGCGCCTCCATCAAGGGTCACCTCCATGGGCCACTCCGCCCTGTCCTGGTCGGGGAAGTGGGGGCGGGGGACGGTCACCTCCGACAAGGCCTCGATGGGGCAGCTGGACCACAGGGTTTGCCGGTGCTGGCGGCACTCGCGGCAGAATTGATATTCCAATCGGGCGTTTGGGTGATCGCTGGTGGGCATGGGGCATGGGATCCACTCCCGCCCCGCAAGCAGCCCACCTCCCACTGGCGCCTCGCACCTAATGTGGAGGAGGGTTGCGTTGGCGAGGACTACCCGGATACAGATGGGGAGCCGCCTTATTTCTCCGCCGGCGCGGGGCGCGTTGCGGGCGAGATGCGATCGGGCGGATCCGGCAAGCGCGCCGGAAGTCTGGCGGGGGCAGCAGCTTGGGCAGGCTTCGTCGCACAGAGTCCACGCCTCGAAGGCCTGTGCCAGTGAGCCTTTAGGACCACAGGGCGAATCTTCGTCAGCTGGCTGATCAGCTGAGCGGTCAGAAGTGATGGCCGCTCGGACGGCGTTGGCGGCAACGTCGGGGCCAAGGGGAGGATGGCCAAGCGCCGCCGAGTAGCGAAAGGCGACCTGGTGGAGGGGGGCGCCGTCGCAGCGGAGGAGGCGCCAAGCATCGGCCAGCCGGTCGGGAACGCGGCGGGCGTCGAGGACGGCCCACTTGGCGTCGTCGTGCGCCCGCGGGCCGAGGCAGGCCGAGCACCGGGCTTGGCCGAGCGAGTCGCTGCTCCCTGCATGCCAGACAGTTCTGGCTGGAGCGTCGTCGCACGAGCACCGCGGCTGAGTCCGGTCGGCGGCTGCCCTCCACCTTGCTTTCCCCGGGGGGGGGGGCCATTGGGTGGGAGCTTCGGGATGTGGTGGGCGGCCGTGAAGTTGGGAGCGCGCAGTAGTACGCCCCAGTCGCGGCGTTCTCCAGGCGCCCACCTCCGCCTGGCGCTGGCTGCGTGCAGCAACCGCTGTCTATTGTGGTTGGCGTTCTGAAGCGCCCATAT